AACCTTTATTCTTTGAAATTAATTATAGAATCAGTTTGACAAGATTCTTCAAAATAGTATTTCTCATATTCACTTGGAATTACATTGAATTTATGTATTAATTTGGAGGAAATTCATATCATTAGAGTATTAAATTGTCCCATCCATGGCTATGGCGTGGTTCTCCATTTCTTTAAGGTTTATGTCTCCAGTAGTTTAAAAATTTTCTGCATAAAAGTTTTATTGCTTTATTTTTGTTGATATTATAGATGACATCCTATTTTTTATTATATTTTTACTTAGTTATTGCTAGAGATGGGGAGCACTTGATTTTTTTATGTTGATAGTGTACGTTTCTTACAAGGCTTAATTTTTGGCCTGTGAATTTTCTTGGACTTTTGATGTATGGGATGATATTAGTGGAAATATTACAAGGTTTGCTTTCTTTCTTCCATGACTTTTTCCTCCAATTTTATTTCCTTGACTTATTATGTTGGTCAAGACCTCCAATTCTATGTTGAAAACTTTTGTTACTACTGGATCATCTTGTCCCTTGAAAGGAATGCTTTGAATTTTCTTTATTCCAAATAATGTTTTCCCTAAGGATTTTGATAGATGACCTTTATCAGGTAAATAAATTGTGTTCGATTCCTAGTTTTCTAACAATTGACCCTAAAAGGCACTGAACTTTATTATTTTTTCTGCATCTTTTGGGATGATAATGTGGTTTATCTCACTTAAACCACAGTATGGTGAAATTATAATAATGTGTTTTCTTTTTTATTTTATTTTTATTGAGGTATAGTTAATTTACAATGTTGTGTTAGTTTCAAGTGTACAGCAGAGTGTTTCAGTTATACATATATATGTATACAAATATATTCTTTTTCAGATTCTTTTCCATTTTAGGTTATTACAAGATAATGAATATAGTTCATTGTGCTATACAGTAGGTCCTTGTTGTTTACCTGTTTTATATATAGTTTGATTAGTAATCTCAAACTCCTAATTTATCACCCCTCTCCGGCCCCCCACCTCCGCTATCCCTTTGGTAACCGTAAGTTTGTTTTCTGTGTCTGTGAGTCTATTTCTGTTTTGTAAATAAGTTCGTTTTGTACCATTTTTTTAAGATGCCACAAGTAAGTGCTATCATATGATATTTGTCTTTCTCTGACATTTCACTTAATATGATAAGCTGTAGGTCCATCCATGTTGTTGCAAATGGAATTATTTCATTCTTTGTTATTTTCTGATGTTGAAGTATTCTTAATTCTTGCAAACCCGTAATGGATCACAATTTAGTTTTTACGTAACAGACCAGTAAAAGCAATTAGCTATTTTTTTTAAATGATTTTGGTATGTGTGATTATAAATATAATTTAGGTTAAAAGTTTGTTTTCTGCTGCTGCCCTTATCTGGTTTTGTTATTTCAGAAGCCATAGCATCATTTTCTAAAACAAGTTTTATTAGACACTGTCTTTCTATAAAACTTGGGTAGAATTACTTGTAAAACATCTAAGTCTACTTGGCACATTTTGGGGTTGGGGGTGGAATGAGTAATGTTTTTGAAGACTTTCAATTTTTAAAACCAGTCTAATCTATCCAATTTCTGTATTTATTACGCCAAATTTTGCAAATTATATTTTTTCCAGAAATTTCTCTTATCTAGGTTTTCCAGTTTATTAACATATAGATCTTTATAACATTCTTGTATGACTTTTAAACTCTATTATATCTTATCCTCTCTTGTTATATTTTTTAATAAAACAAAATAGTTTTCCATTTTTTGTTATTTGGTTTTACAAGACCACCTTGTTCGTCTTGAAAAAGCAAAAAACAAAAAAACCCAGATTTCAGTATTGTTGATTATCTCTGTTATTTACTGTCCATGTCACTGATCGCGCCTTGGGCCTTTTGTTACAGGACTGGGACTGGGAGTCAGGGGCCTGCAGCAGTCGGGAGAAAGGAGGGGTTGGAAGACTTGCCCTTATTTCTGTTCTGATTTCCCAATCCAGGGTTGTCTGTCCTGTCATCTGACAGCAAGTGGAATAAGGACTTGAGTAGTAAGAAGGAGGATGAGACTTAGATGGAGAATAGTATTCCGGGGAGGAGCATAGTGCAGAAAGTCAGAAAACCTCACACCAAGGGACTTCTCTGGTGGTCCAGTGGTTAAATCTTCGCCTTCCATTGCCGGGGTTGTGGGTTCGATACCTGGTCAGGGAGCTAAGATCCCACACGGCTTGCAGCCAAAGAACCGAAACATAAAACAGAAGCAATATTGTAACAAATTCAATAAAAACTTTTTAAAAATGATCCACATCAAAGAAATCTTAAAAAAAAAGAAAGAAAGAAAGCCTCACACCTTAACTGTGGACTGAAAGAAAGTTGTTATAATGACTTTAGGACAGTAAATGGCAATGGATGCACTTAGTTCAGGGGCTGTCTTTGTTTTCCTCCTAAGTCATATACTACCAGAAAGGCAATATTTGAAGTTTTCACAAGAGTATAATACATGCTAGGTTGAACAGACAATTGAATATCTGTCATTAATACACCAATGTATTCTTATCAGTAAATGACTCATTCTAGCAAATTCTGGGGATGATTATGGTTATTAGGGCCTGTGCCTTATAGGATGTTAAGTCTAGATTAATCTGAATGATGAAAAATAACTATTTCTAGTAAGAATTTTTAAAAATTACCTTTAACTTGTTCCAAAAGTAAGTGTTTTTGTGCTAACAATAATAGAACTGTCTTTATTCTGAAAAGCTAATTACTATAATTCCTCTTGTGCCTGTTCAGTGATCCTGGACTGATTCTGAAATGCCGGTGGAACTGCCACTGACAGCTATTTACCTCTGTTAATTGTGTTTGCTGTTAATCTATCACCGAGGCTGAGAATATGGCTTAAATGTTCTCTGTAGTACTGTGGAAGCCTTCTGATACCGAAGGGTTCGAAAGTATTTAAGCAATTTTCAGTCCTGTCAAACCCAGAGGAATAAGTTCATACTTAGCAGGTTCTGCATTTTTATCTGTCATTAGGCCTAGTCAAGACTGGGGGAAAAGAGAAGAAAATGGTATTTCCTCCATGGATGAAGGGATACAGTATGGTCAGATAAATATTGCCCTGAGAAGTGCTTGTTGAAGGCAAGGGAAATATTTTGGAAAAGTTCGGGAGATGAGGTAGTGGCTCAAGTCCATAGATTAACTTAAATGAGTCATTTAAGTGCAGCCAGAAAGACCTTAATCTGAGTAACAGAGGATCGGGTAATAGGCCGGAAAGAATTTTAGTAAATTCTCGCCTCATTCTCCTCTGCCTCCTTGTTCTACTAATTGAATAAAATTGTATATAAAATTCACAACTGAGTGCTTTTTAACATCAAAGGTGTTCAGTAATGAAGTATGTTCTTTACTTTTCAGTTTTTATTCTTTCTTTCCTCCTTTCTGTCCCTTTGTGTTCCTTTTCTCTTTGCATTCATACATAATCAGGTTTCTGTTGTTCAGATTAATGCAAGTGCAAAAGTAGTTCAAAGTATCAGATAAACACAACTATCTGGGAACCAAATTAGTGGAAATTGACTTCACAAATCTCAGTTAACAAAGTTTTTTCCCGTCGGTTTTTCTTTTTAAGTCAATCTTTTAGATTTTGAGCTAGAGTTAGTATTAACTTCTTTTAAAAGTTTGTTTACTTCATTAAAAATTGATACTCAAAATGTATTATAATAAAGCCTTACTGAACAACTGTTAGCAGGATCTACTAAAGTTAAAAAAAAAACTTACGGCATAGCAATTGTACTCATGTCACGTACCACGAGAGGGGATGTATCCACCAAGAGACAGACACAAGAAAGTTTATATCATTAATAGCCCCAAACTGGAAACAGCCAGATGTTTACCAGCAGAAGAGTAGGTAAATACACTTTTCTATTACTCAAAAATAATGATGAGCAAAAGATGAGACACAAAAGAGTACATATTGTATGATTCATCTTATATGAAGTTCAAGTTCAAACAAATTGAATCTATGGTATAGAAGTCAGAATAGTGGTTACTGATTGGTTGGTGAGAGGAGTGTAAATAGATTGGGCAGGGACACATGGAAACCTTCTGGTTGCTATAAACTTCCTAAAGCCTGATCTGGATGGAGATTTACATATGTGTATAAAAATGTCCCTCAAACTGTATAAGACAATTTGGGCGCTATCTGTATGCATAACCAAACATATTGTCTGATTTTAGTTTATCCCTAAAAGGATAAGTGATACTAAAATATATATTTAAAAAATTTTTTTTTTTTTTTTTTACTAAGGCAGAGAAATTATGCTACTTTGTTGCAGAATTTTAATGTTGGGTTGACTTTTCATTTTGTGGCTACTGTAGTGAACTGAGCTCTTACTGTGTTTGATTTTGGTCCTCTAAGCTGCTTTACTCTAAAGAATGTTTTCAATTGAGGATTATTATTTTGCATTTCATTGATCTTACACAGACTTGAAGTAGTTTGAGGAGGTTTTAGGTAAAAAGGAAAAGCTTGCCTGAAGTTTGAAACATTTTCTAAGGATGGGTTGCATATTTAAATATAATATATTTAATATATAATATATAACTATATATTATAATTATATATAAATATATTTATATAGTAAGTGTAGTATGGAAGCTGTCTTAAACCATGTATTTTATCTTTTTATATTCTTTATTCTATGTACATTGGTTATTTAATGGGAGTAGATAACACAAAGAGCTTTTGTATTAAACTAACGATTAAGTTAAGGCTGAAAATACATAAAAGCAAAAAATAGCTATCAGTGAGGACCTGTGATCAAGCCATCAAAATTTAGATATTTCAGTTTATGTGTATTAATGATTTATCCAAGGTTTCCCACTTTACTCGTGGCTAACGGCTTTCAGTAAGTATTTTTCAAAGGCCTTTTGATTATAGGCAGTGGGCTTGGGGTTTCTAGGTTTGCTGAGTAACTCTTAAGCACTAACCTCTCGCTTCCTGTTGCCTCTTGTCTTTATAGGCTGCCCTGCAAGTCGGGGGCCACGGAGAAAGGCTGCACCAGTGTCGGGAGGTCATGCTGCTAACTTACAAATCCATCCCCATGCAAGTGGATGGGGAGCCCTGTAGGTTGGCCCCGGCTATGATTCGGATCTCGTTGAGGAATCAGGCCAACATGGTACAGAAGAGCAAGAGAAGGACGTCCATGCCTTTACTCAATGAGTGAGTCTGCCCTTGCCCACCTTGGTGAACATGGAGACCGTGGAGAGGAGGGCACTGAGCATGTGCATGAACAGGGGCCTCCCTGTGCTGGGAAAGGAGACGAGTCCAGGAGACTCAGCAGCTCCTTGGTCTCTCGCACATATTTCTTCTTCGTGTTTACTATACGGTGACCACACCCTTCTTTCAGAAGTTATTGCTGTATGATGTGTTAGAGTGATGATGCTTTTCCACTGACCACTTGAGTATATACTTACTGGGACCAGCAGAAAATCACTGAGTGATTCAGGGTCGTAAAACGTGTCCTGTCGAAGGCGTGCTGTTGGCCTCCTCTTTCCCCTGATCACTTGGAGAGTTGGTTTCTCCAGGTGCAGGAGGTCGGCAGAGCTGGCTTTGGCTCCCCTCTCTCCACATCGTATCCCCTTCTGCCCTTTCCCAATGCTCCCATTTTGGGGTCCTGTGTACTCTGATGCTTCAACTCAATTTTGCCATCCTGGGTGGCATCCTATTGTCTAGATGAAACTTGACCCACGACTCAATGCCTAAACAAAATGTATCCCTCCTGGACCCTTTCCTTTCTTGGGTGTTTTGATAAACTGATTTGGACAAGGTGATAAATGACTAGATATTTTGAGTGCATTTTATAGAGTCCCTTAATCTAATTTCAATTGAAATGTCTTTTTGGGGTTGGAGAAAGGGATGGAGAAAGATGGGGATTTGGGGTATCTTTTAGAATATCTTTCATATATCACGCACCTATGGCTGACCTGACTCAAGGTAAGGACGTTTTAGGGTTCAGCCTTGGGCCATTCTTCTGTCAGAGCGAGGGTCCCTCCAAGGTGCTCCTCTATTTGTGGCCTGCGATGCATGGTTACCTATTTGTACTGAATGGCTGGCTTCCTCTAGTGCCTGTGAAGGAAGGGCATGCTTCGCCATGTATTTATTAGTCAATGTGACAAGTACAGAAGTGCCTAGAATGAACCGATGACACAGGTGTTATCGCTCCCTGCCAAAGCTTCACCTGTCTTTCTGAGATGGCAGATTTGAAGAACAGCGTTCGACAGGGCTCGTGACGTGTTTTAGTTTTTAGTGTCTCTGCTTCTAAGCTTGAAGCTGGCGTGAGGGATCTTCTCTCCTCTGCATCCTCCTTTTCCAGAGTCAATCTGGGCTCCCCCGGCGCTTTTCCTAGATCGTTCTCCAGAGGGCTTGTTTAGTTGCCTTTTTCATTTTGTTTACATTTTGCAGCTAGTGAAACTCTTAGCTCATTTCTGCGGCTTTCTCTGTCCTCTGCCTTTACCACTATTAGGTTGAATATACACTTTGTGAGTTTCAGGCAGTGTGTCAGCAATAGTATATGGTTGATCATATTCTCTCTTGAAACATTAGAGTTAAGCCATGAACTATTGGTTTAAGGGAAAGTTCTGAGCTACTAAGTGAAAAGCCCTCTCTGAGATAGTCCACGTTGTTTTGGATCACTTGTAGATCGTTTGTTAACAGAGCTAAAAATTCTTAATATCTACAGGCAAGCAGCTCCCACTTTCACGCCTGGTGCTTCTACGCTTAATAACCTTATGAGACATGAAACTGTTTTTGGGTGTTTAGTTTCAAACAGTTTTTGCCCTTGAGAAAGAATTTGTATTTGCTCAGAAACTGTATTAAGAATTTATTTGGGCTTTCTTCTCATATAAAAACAAATGGAAAGAGTTGTTTTCTTTTTGTACACATGGCACATATGACAGATGATGTGACTTCATAGATTTAGCCGGGAGGGCGTTCGAGAAGCAGCCTCGGGCTTCCCTGGTGGCGCAGTGGTTGAGAGTCCGCCTGCCGATTCAGGGGACACGGGTTCGTGCCCCGGTCCGGGAAGATCCCACATGCCGTGGAGCGGCTGGGCCCGTGCGCCATGGCCGCTGAGCCTGCGCGTCCGGAGCCAGTGCTCCTCAACGGGAGAGGCCCCAACAGGGAGAGGCCCATGTACGGCAAAAAAAAAAAAAAAAAAAAAAAGCAGCAGCTTCAACTCAAAAATGCAGTTATTTCCCACCAGGGGGCAGTGGTGTCTCCATCCAAGCAGCCTCAGGCCGTAGGAAAGACTTGGGTGAAATGCCAGTAATAATATTCTGTCCATTTCTTAAAAGGACACATATAAATCTTAAAGATTAGCCAAGATCTGTATTACAATTTATTATTAAAATTATCATTCAACGCATTTTTAGAAAATCTCTCACCACTACTCTTTTTCACCCTCTGTAATTAGATTGCTTCTTTCTATTTCAGTAGAAATCTTTGTTTGGAAATCTAACTTCTTCCACTGGATTTCCAGGTGGAGTTTCCAGTTTAAGGGCGTCCTGGCCACTAATATCTTCTTAAAAGTTTTCTTCCACCTTCTGAGCCCTCCAAGCTTTTCTCTGTTTAGGCCACAGTGTGCAAAGTTCACTGTTGCAGCCAAGGCAGAAAGAGATTATTGAAAGATAATTCTTTCTTCCTTCTTTCCTTCCTTTATTTTTTCCATCCTTCTTTCCCTTTTTTTCCTTTCTCTCTTGCTTACTTTTTACTGTTTCTTCATCACTTGCATGCCTTCTTTTTGAAGAAAGAGAGCTGTTTTAGTTTAAAAACTTGTGTGTATCTGTGTTAGGGGGAAGGGAGTCAGAAAGGGGTAGTTTTTCAATTCATCTTAAGGACTTATCCTCCTTTCACATAGCATGTTAACATGAATATTTGAGATTTTAGGGCTGTGGCCCCCTTTTCTGCTGAAATGCTGGTGCTCCTCATAGATTTGCCCCTTCTCTGGGAAATCACATCTGCAGTACAAGTTCCCTCTATGACGGATAAGCTAGTGTCTCAGATCTGTGTCTTCAGCCCAGCCTTTCTTCTAAAAACTGAAGACTCATACCCAGATATCTTAGTTGACATCTTTATCTGCATATCTCATAGTCACCTCCACTTTTACACGTCCCCTGCGTTGTTTGAACTCTTCCTTCTGTTTATTTCCCACACCTTTAACTCTCACACCATCTTTCCCCTCTACTAGTCACACAGCGTTAGTTGCGGAGCCGTATTCATTACGTCTCGTCAGCATTGCTAAAATCTGCTCAGTTCATTTCCTTGTTTCCCACGTTGCTGCCCTTCACACTGTGTCTTTTCCGATAGACTGGTTAGAATGATCTTTCTAAAAATGTAAAACCTATATTCCTTGGCTTTACCGACCTTTTTGATCATCGCCTTGGTCCTCTCCTTCCTGTGCTCCAGAGCGTATTGCTATTTCTGGAGCAGTACGGCCTGTCTCGTGTATCATTATATTTTTGCCCTCCTCACGTGCTTTCATCTGCTAGCCCCTGCTCAAGTTCAAACTCCATCGAAATATCACTTTCCCTAAGAATCCTTTTCTATCCGCTTCTAGCTATTAAATACACCACTCAGCGCTCCTATAGTATTCTCGTCACTTCTCTCACACCATTTATCAAAACCAGTGTAATTATTGGTTTGCTTGTCTCCCCTGCTCTGTGGGGAGACCCCAGGGTTTTCCTCATAGGGTCGCCAGTGCCTGCTAGTGTGTCTGAGACTTACGGTTACATGTTGAACAAGGGACTCGCACATGGATCGGTTCTGTAATGTCCTATCTGTTACGTTTCTCGGAAATTGTTTCTAAAGTAACATAAATCTAAAACCTCGTGAATATAAAAATAATACAGAGAATGTCTTGGTCACATTTTATGGCAGAAGTGGAAGATATATACTTAAGAATTTCGAGATCTGGTGCACATGGATGGCTGGAAGAATTCCCATGAGAAACAGCTAACTAGGAAGCTTTCATGATGCCGGTGGATCTTCATGTAGCAAAAAGGAAAACAGTTTTTCCTAAAATAATTTCTTGGTTTATGATCCTATTTGCTGTTACTATATATAAACTGAAAGGCTAGGCCCGTTATGTTCACTCTCCCCTCCCCTCTCTACCCCATTGGTACAGGAGAGTATGTCATTTATGGCTTAAGAATCTACTTGAAATAGGACTCCAATAAATTTCTTCCCCCCTAAAAGTAACAGAGCAGATTTGTTTAGGTTCATATTCATGTACTAGTAACATGATAGCCAGATAAATTTGATTATGTTCTCTATTTGAAAGTCACTTTTGAGGGAGATCAGACATTCTACATTACTCAGGTGCATAGGAAGATCTCAGCCTGAGTTCACTAGCAATTAAGACAACGTTGTTAAGGGTGATTGTATTATCCAGGGGCAAGATTTCTAGTTGGCAAACCTTGGGCAACCGACTTCCAGCATCCTGGGCTGCTGAGAAGTATCATTGGTTATAACTGATAGCCCGTTCAGGATGACAAGGAGTTCATTCATGGGTGGCTTTATATGAGAATTTATGTACCCCGTGGAAAAGAGGGATGGGGGGGGTACGTCTACTGCAGTTATAGTGAAACTGTTCAAATGGTCAAAGAGAGTGAAGAGAATAATGATGTAACAGTGACAGGAAATTTGGGGTTTAGTTTCTTCAGTTCCACATTTTTTCTTTTCTGGTGGCCATCGAAGACCCTCTCCTTTACAAAAGAAGGGAGAGCAGAGAGAAGTCTATGGTTTCACTCGTCTACCAAGAATATGAGTGGAATTACAGCATCACTGTGATAAAATCAGGCTTTCTTGGTATTACCTTGGGATTTCTTAGAAAGCCTTCTCTGTTTAACTGAAGGAAGTTAAAGTTTTTGTCGAGTTGCTCTTTTGAAGACGGTTGTCCTTTGACATGAATATTCCAACAAAGCCCTGGAATCATGAGGACTATGTTAAAGGATTCAGTTTACCTTGATTCTGCTCTGAGTTGACTGTGCCAGCCTACCACCCGTGTGTGTGTGTGCGTGCGTGCGCGTGCACGCGCGCACAGATGGATGCCCAGTGAGACCTAGAGCCGGAGAGGACCGCGGTAACCCTCTGCCCCGCAGCCCCGTGCAGCATCCGCGCTCCTCCAGCATCTGCCGGTGCCCCGCCTCGTGCTCCAGTCTGTG